TATATATATATATATATATATATTAAATGATGAATACGGTATGATACACTTAAAGAAGTCGCGAAGGACATTACCTTACAAAAAAGTGATTTTTAACTATTACAGCAAATGTTTTCCAAGGCTCTGTCTATTTTTATCGAAGTTTTTTTTTTGGTGGGTGATGGGGGAGGAACCACTGGAGTCTTGAGCTCGCCCCCAAGTTGCTGATCCGTAGGTATACTTACCGACAATACTCCAACCAATTTGTTCCCAAAAGCTTTGATTGTCTCCCAACCAATGCTGGGCATATGGCGAAGTTCCGGTAAAATGACTCCTGGTAACAACTAGTGGTCTTTTTTCTGGCTCAAGCTCCCGTAGCGCCCTGTGCAGCAGTATGAAAATATTATATGCTTTAATGTTGTAGCAATGTGCTGAGAAATATACCTAGTTAACAGTGTTACAATATGTTAACGTTACAATAACGTTGCAGCTTAGTTTCAAACAAAAACCCGAAAGAAAAATGAAGCATTTAAACAATCGAAACACATAATTAAAAAGCAATAATAAAAAAAACAGTAATGTTCCTCATCATAACACACCAAGAAACAAACAAATGGGAGGCAAAAATATGGCATGAAAGTGTTGTGTTGGTTTAGAATTCCAATTGTGTCCACAACAGAGAACAGGCAAAATGACGGACCAAGGCTCAACAAACAAGCGGGCAAACAACAAAACAAAACAAAAACAAATCAGAAGCTGATTCACTTCATACAGTGCAGTGATGGCGCCAGCGAGGGGCATGGGCATTTCCTCCAGCCGCCCTCCCGTCGGACAGACCTGGATCCTGTCGTCATTTTAGAGGACCATAACATAACATTTGATTATGTCACTCCATAGAGTGTAGGCTGAGCTGGGTACCGAATAATACACGAAAGGCTACGCGGGCGATTTAATCATTTCTGTTTTTGCTCGAGGGGTAAGTTTCAAGTTAACCTGATCTTGTCCTTTGACCTTTCACCCCAAAATTTAATCGTCTCTATATCAATATGTTCCACTATGCTAATTTTGATAATGATTTATGCATTGTGTGCGTAATTCTACTAACAGACAGGAAGCACGACAGACTGACAGACAACAACGGCAGACTTGCAACGATCTATGCATAACCTCCTTGGCGGGGAGGTAAAAATGAATTAGTGTTTACTTGAAGGTGGCAATGCTCATTGTGTGTCCGTAGAGACTGTGGACATCATAGTGTTCGCCTCCAAACTGTTTTGCATCCATACAAATCGTATCCTCAAGAAGGTCCCCATTCAAATGACCAAGAATATCTAAGCGTGTATAGAAGTGTATAGAAAAAAAATATATGTAATATAAATTAGAATTAGTGTTTACTTGAAAGTAACTAGGCTCATTGTATGTCCATAGAGGCTGTGCAGATCATAGTGTTTCCCTCCGAATTGTTTTGCATCCATACAAATTGTTTTATCGATAAGATCCCCTTCCCAATAACCAAGAATATCTGAAAATGGATAATTCATTATAACATTAAAAACATTATAACACTATAGATATAGAAATTAAGCGTATGTATGGACTTTCTCCATGGAAAATATGGCAGTCGAGTCGGAGAAGCTACAAATGCTCATAGTGTTTTTGCTGCAATCACCACACTGCGTATCTGTCCCATGCGCATTCGGGAGAGCTGACCGACCAATCAGCGTCGCCGATAAGAGTAAGGCGATAGCCCCAGTAACAATTAATGAAAACCAACCCTATCAGACTAAACATACACATATGCATATACGATCTGGCACTTTCATTTCGTATTAAGCCTATTATATTAATAATTACATTAGCTGTATAACAAAATATTTAGGCCAGTTATTTGAAATAATAAACATAACTCTTCTTAAAACGAATTTGGTCTGATTGACTCATACACATATTTAACGAACTTATTCCTCAATAATAATACTACTTATAATAATAATAATAATATCAACGATGATGATGATAATGATAATAATACTTTTAATAATAATAATAATAATATCAACGATGAGGATAGTAATAATAATACTTTTATTAATAATAATAATAAAAATTAAAGAACCAGCATGCGATTACTCTGCATGTGATCACTAGCATATTATCACCCTGTGTGATCACGGTGTAACATTTAAGTGTGATGATACTTACTCGGCAAATATGGTGGATTATTCAATGAGTTTACTTCACATCCTTCGACAGATCCTTTCACAAAATTGGAAGGTTCGTTCATGTCCTTTATTTTAAAATGACGATAAAACAGTTTTAATGAATCACAGGTAAATCAGATTTGGAAATGGCCCCTCCAGCCTTAAATATCAGTGGTTTGAGACACACACAGACTTACCACTCAATGACACATAAAGCTTGATTCTCATAAAATAGCTACACTGTCGCTATGATGTTTTCACTACAATTGTTTACTGCGTATCCTATCCCTGACGCAACCGGGAAGGCTCCCTTATATAAGTAAGCGTCGCAGAAAGCTGTGGGCGATAGTCTGTAGCGATCTTATGGAAACCAGGCTTAATAGGAAGTGGTTGCCATACTATAGACCTACGAAGGGTTGAAAGGTCACTGTGATATCAGGTTAATGCATCTTTCCGCTAAGCCCCTTCCCACTAGTATCGTTGCTAAGGTCCCACAAAACAACAGCGTAAATGTACGTAAACTTGTGTGTTTGTTGGACCTGTATACCTGTTCTGATTGGCTTTCCGGAAAGGACCATTGCGGTGGTTAGGATAGTGCGCATATACGAGTGTTTGGCGGATCCGTGACACCAAATGGTGACAGTAGTCGATTTCTGAAACCCATGTGTTTACAGAAACGCGTACCGGTACCTCTCCTAAAGAAAATAACCGACAGCTTTCTATTTTTTTATTATGTAGTAGAGCATAAAAAGCTAATTAACAATGTCTTGTGATTTGTATGACAAAAACAATGCAAAATATAATAATTTAGTATATTTTCTATACTACTTACTATCCAAATCCCGTCATAATCTATAATATCGCGAAACAGATCCAATTCCTTCGTCCACCACTCTATTGCCTTTGGGTTGGTAAAGTCAGGATACACAGATTTGCCAGGCCATACCTTAAAATATATAGAGTATTTACAATTACAAAGTTAAAGTATAATTTAAATCCAATTTTTATTGAGCGGTTTCATTGTATAAAATATATATAAAATTATTTAATTCACACAGTACATTTTTTTAATGCATTTGTACTGCAATATTTTAATTGCAAAATGTAGTGTTAAAGCAGGGGCGGACTTAATTCCAAACTAATGTGACTATAAAATAATTTGTTATTCAATCGTTTGTTAGTTTTTTCGTCCATTTCAGATTCAGATTCAGATTCGGATTTCTATATTTTTGTCCTAAAGGAAATTACACTCAATACAAAAATACATCGCAGAAAAAATGTTCATTCATTCATGCATTCATCTACTAATTCATTTGTTTTATAATAAATGTATTCATTCATTTTGTATTTGTTTGTTGATACATTCACACATCAATAAGTTATAAACAATCAATTATTCAATAATTTAGTCATCCATAATATAATATATTCATTCATTAATTCATTAATTCACGCATTCATTTACTTATTCATTCATTCATTCATTCGTTCGTTGGTTCCTTCATTAATTCATTCATTCGTTTAGATATACACTTATTTTATTATTTGTTTGTTCATAGAGTATTATTCATACATTCAATTTTTCTTGTGTTTGTTAATCGTTTTTTACATACAATTATACATTCATTCCTTTTCTATAGTTTGTTCATATTGTCATTCATTTATTCACTCAGTCACTCATTAGTTCATTCACCAATTCACTTATTCAACTTACTAAATAACAATACTGCTTATAATGCATTACTGTTACCTACCTCTCCAACAAGAGGTCTAAATCCATCTGAATAGTTGACGTATATACTCATACTCAGGCCCCTATCATAAGTTGCATAACCTTTCTCAATTTTGATACCATGATCCTATCAAAGCAGAAGGTAATTTGCATTGTGATGAAAATGTAAAGGTATAATATAATGGAATGTCTTAAAGTTTTTTTACGTCTTGTCAAAGAAAGCAAATTTCTAAAAATGAACCATTAGTATCAGCAGTTAGAACTACGAATTGGCTTACTTACGGTACTGTATAGAATTTGTATGGATAGCGATAATAATAACGTTGACGATACGGATGGGGCATTCATTGTGTTTTTTCGAAAAGAACCTCAGAACTAGGCTCTACAATAAAAAGCTACTAATCCAGCGATATAGTTCGAATTGTGTATGCTTTTTTATGGTCAAGTGCTTATAAACAAACGAATCATATTGCTTATTCTCCCAGAGAAGTATTAATAAGTTAAGCCAATTCATAGTTAGAACTGTGCATGCTCTTGTCAAACGTCAATCGACATAAATCTTTGTTGTGTGTATGATGTTTACGTCAATTGACCTTGATATGAGCATGTGCAGTTCTAACTACGAATTGGCTTATTTACCGTTTTGTTTTGGTAAGCCCTATGATTATTTGGCTTGACCTACTGTACGTACCAGTATGCGCACTTAAACATACGAGATACTCTTAAATGAAAAAGAGTACCAAAGAGTATAGAAATCAGAGTACTTAGTTTTGTAGATACTGTACAGAAGTGATACAATTTCCTACCAATATGGGAATGTATCGCTGTCCCCTAGCGTGTAATTCGGCTATGAATTCTGGTAGGCCTTTGTAAGTATTTTCGTCGTATGTGAAGTCTTTCTTATCCAACATTATATCAATGTCACCATATTGAACATCCTAAGGAAAAGAGAAATTTACGTTATTGAACTAAAAAAAGTATTTTATACATATTAAGTATTGGTAGACCCAAAATCAATTAAATAAGCCATTAAAACTCTTAAATTGTCATATTTTTGTGGGGTTTCGCCCCCACGGAACACTTTCGAGAGATTTTGAGTGATGCCAGACCACGCCCATTTCGTGGGGAAATTGCCACCCCACCCACGCCGGAC